AAACAGCACCTCAGACTGAGGAAGTCTCTCGGATGAGAGACGAAACGTTTCTATATTTTTTTGCCTTGTTTTGTTTTTTTGAATGTCCAGAGGACCAGATTGAACTTTTTTGGAAAGTGTAACAATGCTTTTTTTTTTTTTTATCTGAAAACAAAATGACCAAATGTCTCGACTTTATGAGATTACATATTGATGCATTTTTCTATTTAGGTGATAAATTTAATCCAGTTAACCTAAAATGTTCTTTTCTAAAACTAATGCCACATATAATCAGATCAGAATGATCAAAAATACTCAGTGCTCAAATGATTTCAAATATTGTGGTTTCCCAACCCACATCCGTACCTTTACCATCGCACTGTGCCGGACAGAAGCAGAGGCAGGTCTGTCGGCTCCAACTTGAGACTCTACAAAGTCTCCCATGACGGCGTTCTTATTGAACAAAATGGAAGGAGCAATAAAGGAATAGCCCTGAAACATGGGAGAAAGGTGTCAGAGAAAATTCCCTTTAGGTATTTTCTGGTCTAAGTAACTTCTCGTACTTTACTTTTCAGAAAGCAGCTGAAGATAAGGGCTGACCTGGAACAGGCGGTCTGTGCTTGGAGGCGTGCTCGCCGGGGAGTAGACTGGTTCCATTCCAGTGAATTCCTCAGAAAAGTTGCCCACATCAAGTTCATTTTTCAGCTCCGGCTTAAAAGGACTCTGCACTTTCTTCTGTGCTAGGTCGGCCCAGTTCAGACCCTGCGAGCAAACAGAAGCCAGATGAGAAGAGTCACAGACATACTGGAGAGGAAAACGGATGTTTACGTGGGAGGCGGTTAAGATATTAAGACCTTAAAGAAAGCATGAGCCTTGATGTCCTCGGCCCCTCTGGGCCCAGAGCCCAGCCTCCTGTGAGGGTCTTTCACCAGTAACTTCTTCAGCAGGTCCTCAGCAACATGTCCGATCATAGAGGGGAACTGTGGGTCGCAGCGTAAAATACGCCTGAGAGGCAGAGGTGAGATTTGATCATGTGAACCTTATTGTAACGTCTGATTCTACAACCTGTTGCAAACTGATCAGACTGTTTACAACAAAACGGAAACAGAACCAGCAGCTCTTACTTCGACACCTCACTCTGTGAGTTCCTTTCTCCCTCCAAAGTAAAAGGAGACGCTCCTGTCAGCAGCTCAAACATCAGGATCCCAAGGCTCCACCAGTCTACAGACTGGAGCAGAACAGAAAAGTAAAAAAAAAAAAAAGCAGAATTGAAGCAGTTCAGGGTCAGGTGATAAGATACAGATTGCGTTTTTGTTTTTTACCAAACCAATTCAAACATCAGCTGTCTAACCAGTAAGTGAAAATAACCTTCCACACTCTTAGAGGCTCCGGGCACACCGTGATGAAACAGCTTTAGAAAACATTTTTTGTTCAGATTATTAAACTAAAGCAATAAATAAATAAAAAAATCTCAAACAGAAACCTTAATTTCTCTTTCCTAAATAGTCAATGTCCTTTTTCATGTAAAATATATTTGGCGTTTTAGCCAAAGTATAAAAAAGTGAGAGTAGACTGGATGACGTATAGAAAAGTCCAGATGGACCTGAATCACTGAAAAGACTCAAGGAGGTCCAATATTCAAGAAGAAAACTGGCTCACATCATATAAAGTATGCCAACATCATAGAAAGATGCTTAAAAAGAAATATGCAAGAAGAATTAAGTCTTAATAATATAATTCAAACTAAAAGTTGCTATGTGAAAATCTCAACCCACAGAAACCAGATGCAAAACATCTGCATGTCCTTTCAGACTTGAAACAATTTGTGTAATTGAATTTTTCCATCCACAATGTTCAAAAACATGCCATACCATTTTTTTCTTGATACTGACAATTATTATTAAAGTAACAGTCTTTCCATTTGTAAACTATAATTTTCAAAGTCTTGAGAAACAAAGGTTTTAGAGAAAAGATTATCTCAAAAACCTTAAAAACTCTTCTCACTTCTGTGCATTTCTTGCAGTTCTTGTTAAATTGACATGTGTGATAATCACATCCCACACTTTTCATTTGACACGTGAACATCAAATCCTGTTATTTGCTGCTTGACGGCAGAGACTTTACCTTTCCATGCCCAGACTTCCCTCTGATGATTTCAGGAGCCATGTACTCAATGGTGCCACAGAAAGAGTAGGTTCTTCCTTTCTGCAACGAGGCGAAGCAACAAAGTTCACACATGCACTCACAGTATATCTAAACTGATCACTGCTTTACATACGTCTTCTTCCAAGAACTCTTTGCTGAGCCCAAAGTCTGTCAACATCACATGACCCTCGCTGTCCAGAAGGATGTTTTCCAGCTTGATGTCTCGGTACACAATCCCCAGCTGCACAGAGACAGAGAAACATCACCAGTCACATAATCTACGCTGTGACTGCAGTAATCTGTCAAGTAATAAAATATTTGAAGGATGATAAAGAGAACAAGCAGTTTTATTGATGCCCATGGACAGATTTGAATGTTTTTAACTAAATTATAAATGAAACTAGAATGCTGGAAAAAGACGTTACAATTTTTAACAAGTTTAAAGAGCATGTGCAATTTTTTTTAGTACAAAGCTGCAAAAACCAAATGATCTGAACCTATATATGAGTTACAGTAGTCTCTCTCTTGTTAGTGATCTGAACCTATATATGAGTTACAGTAGTCTCTCTCTAGTTAGTGATCTGAACCTATATATGAGTTACAGTAGTCTCTCTCTAGTTAGTGATCTGAACCTATATACGAGTTACAGTAGTCTCTCTCTAGTTAGCGGTTTGACTTTTGCGGACTCGCTCTATGACGGTTTGTGGACGTATAGTCCATAATATTGTACAAAACAAAAAAAAA